TTCACATTTTATCCCCTCTATGCCCTCTCCCACTTCCACTCCCTCCACCCCATTCACTACACTGTAGTCCATGTCCATGAGTTCTCTCTTTTTTTTGTTCAATCCCTCCACCTGGCTATTGTAAATGAACATAGGGGTGCATATATTTTTTCCAATTGATGTTGCAGGATTCTTAGGATATATTCCCAGCAGTGAGAACACTGAGTCAAAAGGCAGTTCCATTTTTAATTTTTTAAGGAAACTCATACTGTTCACAGCACCAGTTTGCATTCCCACTAACAGTGCACAAGGGCTCCCTTTTCTCCACATCCTCACATCCTGGTCAGCATTTGTTGTTCATTGATTTATTAATGATAGCCATTCTAACAGGTGTGAGGTGATATCTCATTGTAGTTTTAATTTGCATCTCTCTGATGATTAGTGATGTTGAACATCTTTCATATGCCTATTGGCCATCTGTATGTCCTCATTGGAGAAGTGTTTATTCGCGTCTTTTGCCCATCTTTAAATTGGATTGTTTGGGTTTTTTGGTGTTGAGCTTTATTAAGTTCTTTATAAATTTTGGATATTTACCCCTTACCAGAGGTATCAATGGCAAATATGTTCATCCTTTCAGTGGGTTCTTTTTCCGTAACTTTTATAATAGTCCTTCTCCTTGGCTCTACTCCAATAGCTTGAAATGCCTAGCATTCTAATTCCTCTAATAATAATCTATACTAAAAAAAGGGTAATATGCTGATTAGACCGGGAGAGCTTCCAGGAGACCTTCCGGATGTCCTTCCAGACAAAGCCATGGTGGCGGGGCCGAGGCAGAGGCGGTTAGGGGCAATCAGGCCAGGAGGGGAGGGCAGTTGGGGCCAAGCAAGCCAGCAAGGGGGGGCAATTGGGGGCAATCAGTCTGGCAGGGGGAAGGCAGTTGGGAGTGAGCAGACTGGTGGTGGGGGGGGCAGTGGGAGGCAAGCAGGCCTGCAGGCAGGTGAGCAGTTAGGAGCCAGCGGTCCTGGATTGTGAGAGGGATGTCCTAAACCGGCAGTCGAATATCTCCCGAGGGGTCCCAGATTGGAGAGGGTGCAGACCGGGCTCAGGGATACCCTCCGCCGCACTGTGCACCAGGCCACTCGTTCTATAATACTCATGGTAGTTCTGCTTTTCTGATTAAACACTGAATTTTTGGTACAGGGAGTGGTTAAAGGGAAATAGGACCTTAAGGATATGAACCTTAAATTGCTTCTCTGAGTTGATAAAAGCCATTAATGACCCTGTTTCCAGTGGTAAAGGGGACACTAACAGTCTATGGCATGCAGTGGCAAAATACTTAAATTACCACCTCAGACAAGCATAACAAAGAACCTATAAAAGACAAGGCTTTGACCCAGTAGTTGTTGCCATAAAACATTTTTGTAAAAATGAGTTGTATAATGTGTTAGTTGCTTCTAAGGACACTGGAGAACTTGGTAAAAGAAAATGAGCTCAGAGTTTTAAATTCATAGTTCAAGGTCTGGGTAAGTGACTAGAAATGTTCTATGTTGCTTTAATAAGAAGCCTATGTCATATGGACACAGGGCTGAGATTGCTGAAAAGCATACTCTGCAGGCCAAATTACAATGCAAATTCAATTCACACCCTTGTAGGGCATCTTATGTTAAAGTTAGGACCTTGAGCCAAACCGGTTTGGCTCAGTGAATAGAGCGTCAGCCTGTGGACTGAAAGGTTCCAGGTTCGATTCCGGTCAAGGGCATGTACCTTGGTTGCGGGCACATCCCCAGTAAGGGGTATGCAGGAGGCAGCTAAATCGATGTTTCTCTCTCATCGATGTTTCTAACTCTCTATCCCTCTCCCTTTCTCTCTATAAAAAAAATCAATAAAATATATTAAAAAAAAAAAGTTAGGACCTTGACTGGGAAGGAGTTGGGGCCCTGAAAATTGGAATGGAGACATATGGGCAGACTCTGATGCAGTTGAGTGCCTTGAACCCTTAAATTCCACCAAGCCTCCTTTGCAAGTGCAAGTAGTTCTCCATCCTCTGTCTGAGGAAAATCATCTCCCTTTGCCTGAAGAATGTGTAGTGGCCTCCCCTGAGATAGTTGCCTTACAAGGGATTGCAGGTGTTCCTGAGGACGCACCTCAAAACTTCTCATCATCTAGACCAGCCGTGGGCAAACTACGGCCCGCGGGCCGGATCCGGCCCGTTTGAAATGAATAAAACTAAAAAAAAAAAAAAGACTGTACCCTTTTAAGTAATGATGTTTACTTTGAATTTATATTAGTTCACACAAACACTCCATCCATGCTTTTGTTCCGGCCCTCCGGACCAGTTTAAGAACCCATTGTGGCCCTCTAGTCAAAAAGTTTGCCCACCCCTGATCTAGACATACAACCAACCTCAAATCCCAGAAGGTCCTAGAGGTCAGACAAAAAACATGGCCAGTGATGATATGCAATACCTCCCCAATGGACTGCCAAGATTTGGACAACTTATGTGGCCAGAAAGGTGGCAGATACATATTCCAGAATCCCCTTCCCTGTATGGTTCTGCGCTAGAGCTGGGCAAAGAGAAATACATGCCACGGAAGACAGGAGGAGAGCAGCAGCCACTGTGCTCCAAAAGTCGGGTGGTCTAAGGTAATGAGAGACAGACAGGGAGGCTCTGGCAGCTCTCATTTGTCCTCACTCTTCTTTCCACCCACTCCATGTCCTCTTTCCCACTCTGCACCCAGCTCTTCTCAACTGCCAGCCTTGCTAACCAACGGCAACCCCAAGCCCACCAGAAACTTGACTAAGAACGCAGAGATTGCCCTAACCAGTTTGGCTCACTGGATAGAGCCTCGGCCTGCGGACTGAAGGGTCCCAGGTTCGATTCCGGTCAAGGGCATGTACCTTGGTTGCGGGCACATCCCCAGTAGGGGGTGTGCAGGAGGCAGCTGATTGATGTTTCTCTCTCATCGATGTTTCTAACTCTCTATCCCTGTCCCTTCCTCTCTGTAAAAAATCAATAAAATATATATTTTTGAAAAAAGAACACAGAGCTGTAGAAGTTCTGTCTCTGAATCCCATGCCAGTCAGTTTACTTCGGCAGTGTCATGCCAGAAGCTGGGTAGTGACAGTCTTTATGACTGCATGGTAGACCCGTGGGTGAGCAGCTTTATACTATAGACTTCATTCTTTCATTTTCATAGGTCCTTTCATGAACATTTTAGGGAAATAAACAATTTTAAAGTAATTTTAAACATTTCAAGCAACCTTCCCTAATTTGGAGCACTCTGAGTTCCCCAAGGAAAACAAATAAAAGCAGCTTTTTCAGCCTAAAAGGATAAAAATAAAAGTACTTACATCATTAGACTGAAACAATCGAGTCATGGCAAAGAAGGCTTCTGTGGCTTCTATAGTTCCAAAGTGTTCCCCCTAAGTAAAATTGAAAACAATAATTAAGGATTTTCTCTTTATTTCTGCAAAATTCTTTTAGAATGCAGGGGAAAAAATCTGTTTGTAAACAATGGACTTTTTGCTTTTTCTGACATAGCCATTTATCTGCTCCTTAGTTAAAATAACTCAGTATCACACAGCGTGCTATAGAAGTTATAGAATAGTGGTCTCTAACTTTACAGCAGAAACTGTTTTAATTTCCCTGAAGAACAGTGATTTACAAGGAGGTAGAAATGATGGCAAGTTGAGTCCCTAATCAGATTGCAATGTTATTATTACACTTCCTACAAGCAGAGATCATACCCTATACCTTTCTATAATCCAATGCCCATCACAAAGCCCTGCATTCTCATTGGAACATAATAAATACTGGACTGTAAAAAAACTATTAGGGCCCTGGCCGGCTTGGCTCAGTGGATAGAGCGTCAGCCTGACGACTGAAGGGTCCGGGTTCAATTCCGCTCAAGGGCACATGCCCAGGTCGCAGGCTCAATCCCCAGTGGGTGGCGTGCAGGAGGCAGCCAATCAATGGTTCTCTCTCATCATTGATGTTTCTATCTCTCTCTCTCCCTCTCTTGTTCTCTCTGAAATCAATAAAAACATATTAAAAAAAAAAAAAGAACCACATTTGTGTGTGTGTAACAAGGTATTAAATAACCTATTTCACTTATAGTCAAAACACTGCAGATCACAGGCTACCTGAAACACTACCATTTCAATGTAATATCTTCATTAAAGCCATCCGATAAAATGTCAGGCCCAATCACTTTCAGAACTTTGAATTTTACACAGAATATAAGTAATCTTCACTCTATTTGTCATGAGTCTAAGAATAAGCCAATTTTGATGAAACACTTTGAAAGCTTAGGATGAAAGACGAAGTATAATAGTTTACAATTGCTTTAATCAGAATATCCAACTTGCTCATCAGTAAGGGATTTTCCCTCTTACTTTCATAACTGCTTCCTGAATACCTAGAAGGCCAGGTACTTTTCAGTCATATTGGTAAAACTTGAGTGCCTACTTGACTTGAAACTCAGAAAACATATAAATATGTTAACTCTGGTAGAAATTCAAAAGTATTTTTCCACCAAGCTCCCCCAAGATATAGGCAAAAGAAAAAACTAAGATTCCCAAACCTGTTTATGTATCAGCCTGTGCTTGGTAAGTTCCTTATCAAGATAATTAAATGTTTCAACATGAGTTGCCCATCGAGGAGCTATTGGCCAATACAAAAGTATATGCTACTCTGAACCAACACCAACTACTCAAAGTTCTGCTTATATAATGGATTTAGGTAACTTGGACACAACGTGTGCTATGAAAAGTTAAATCAAACTAACTGTGCCTTAAATGTTTCCAGTATGATACCACAGAGGGATATGGCTTTGTGAACTTTATTTAAAAGTACGTACTTGGCCCTGGCTGGTTTGACTCAGTGGTTAGAGGGTCAGCACGCATACCAAGGGGTCCTGGGTTTGATTCTCAGTCAAGAGCAGGTATCTGAGTCGCGAATTTCATCCCCGGCCCCAGCCGGGGCGTGTGCAGGGGGCAACCAACCAATGTCTCTCTCACATCAATGTCTGTCTCTCTCTCTCTCTCTCTCTCTCCCGCCCCACCCCTTTCTTTCCCTTCCCTTGCACTCTCTCTAAAAAAAAAATCAATGGAAAATAATATCTTCGCTTCTACTCTCTCTACAATAAATGGAAAAAATATCTTCAGGTGAGGATTAACAACAACAAAAGTATGTACTCATTGCTCAATCTCCATGTGCATACAAAACTTTATTATGTCTCTAGATGAAGTCGTCAGTCATGAAGCATAGTAAAGATAAAATATTCTCATGGAATTAAAATTGGAAACCACAGTCTTCTTAGCACCATATATAAACCATCTGAGAGTGTGAGGGTGTGAGGGTGTGAGGGTGTGTGTGTGTGTGTGTGTGTGTGTGTGTGTGTAAGAAACAAAATCACATTTTCTAAGGCCCTAGAAATTTTATGAAACGTTTTAAGTCAACAAGAACAAAAAAGAAAAATACATTTAAAAATTTAAATTAGTAATAATAATGGCAAATAGAAGCTATTTCATTTAGGGCAAATATTTTTGTTGGTTTTGTCGGTTATATCCCAGTGTCTAAAACAGTGCCTAGGACAGCAGATTAGCAATAAACATTTGCTGAATGACTGAATGAAAACTATTCCTGAATGCTTACTATGTATCCAGGACTATTCTCAATGCTTTATATTTATTATCTCAGTTAATCACTTCCACTTCATAAAACAGATATTATTGTAATCCCCATTTATAGAAACGGACATTAAGGAAGAATCATATTATTGTAATGGTGGAGTAGGGATAATAAATATAAAATTTGAATATTAAACATAAAGCTTTAAAGCATCACTATATACCCACCCAGACCCCAAAAAGGGTACAGTAACTATTTAGAATATGTCTAAGGTTCTGCACTATATTTTTAGAGGAACATAAAGACCTCTGAACCATTCTAAACAACATGTTTTAACATTAACTAACACTTGTTAAATTCAAATCAATGTTGAGAATCTACTATGTGCTTTGCTGATTTAGTACTTCATGCATAAAAGTATGTCACAGACCTTGTCCTCAAGAAGTTTTACATATTATTCTATTAATCAAACATTGTTCATTTTTTTAAATAAGTGAATTTTTAAAAAATAATTATACTTACCAGAAAGTACTTTACTACATGTTATGTATTTCTATTCCAGGCCACGACTCTGAAAAAAATTAAAATAATTTACCTGGTTCAGTAAGTAGATAATCTTTGTAAGAATATGCAAACATCTTCTTGGATTGATGGGTGTTTCATTGAATAGACGAGCCTGGAAACAAAAGAAATCACTGTTATATATATTTTTTACTTTTTCTATCTCAGATTACAGAAAATCAACCTTAATAAAATAAAGACTATTATGTATATTAATAACAATATACAAGTAATGTTAACTAACTATAGTTTTCCATTTATAATGGCATATGATAACGTATTAAATGTGACCTTGATTTCCCATTTTATACTGTCTTTCCCTTAGATATTCTGCTTCAACTTTGTAATCTCTGTTAAGAATCACAATATTTATTGACATCACCTGAACATAATGAGTTTAATATCTATAACTTCCTTCAATAACCTTTCACTACACACCTCTTCTGGCATTTTATTTAAAATTCTCAACATGTGGCCCAGGCCAGGTGGCTTAGTTGGTTGGCGTGTCATCCTGTACACCAAAATGCTGTGGTTTCCGATTCCCAGTGGGGCCTGTACAGGAGGCAACCGAGCGATGTTTCTCACATCAACGTTTCTCTCTTTCTCTCACTAAAAATCAATGAACACATCCTCCATGAGGATTAAATACATAATTCTCAACGTGTAGCACAGTCTGAACGTTTTTCACATTTCTCTCTCCGCTGACAAGCAATCCCTTTTCCTTTTCCCTCAAGTCTATATTCTCTGAACTTAGTTATATTCCTTAATTCTTATTTTGGATCTCAGCATTCCAGGGGCTCTCTGCCCACCATTCTAAAATAGAATGGAAAAGAAGAAACACAGTATACTTCCACGCCATACCTCCTGTAAGACAGTACTCTTCTCCAGATGCCGAAAAGGGTTGGAGCCACTACCTATAGCATAAAACAAAACATATCTTTAATAGCTGCCCTGCACAAACTTACTTTCCACCGGATACTGAATGTTTGGTGGCGACCACTTGGCTATATCACAGTGATCATCATCATCACTACTATGCATATAAACTAAATATAATCATTTTTATTCAGAAACGACGCCTGTCATTGCTTCCTTGTAAGATCTTGTACTTCTGCAGGAACCCTGCCCAAAATGAGTGTCTTCTTTGCCCTGCCCTCTTCTTATATGAATATTATACAAGTATCTGTCATGTCCACACGACCAAGAGGAATGGGATCATGGTTGGGCCCTTTGGAGTGCCCTAAAGGCGAGCACAACTTTGTGTGTTTCTAACATTCACTGTGAGGCAGAAAAGAAGAGTCTAGCAGATCATCATATACACTGAAAGGTGGAAGGGGCCGTGGAGGTTTCACTAACCCAACCCACTATGAGAGCAGCTATCAAACACCGAGTTTTGTTTTGTTTGTTTGTAAGGTGGCTTAGTTATCTTCCTCTTCTGCTCTGAGCCAAGCTATCAGCGCCAACTCACTTTGGGGCGCACGAAAAGGTCTATGTACCATGCGCCAGGTAGGACCTCTGGGAAGCAGACCGTGTAAAGACCCCCGGGAAGACTGCGAGGCTCAAGGCAACTCCACTTTCACGTACACACACACACACACACACGCTCCGGGGGACCCGAGACTCGCTCTGGGCCTCGCACGCCCAGCACCCCTCGCCTCTTACTCTTGCACACACATCCCCACCCTCCGCCACCTC